AAGGGGGAAGGAGAGGGATAGCGACTTAGAAACATCGATGAGAGAGAAACATCGATTCAGCTGTCTCTTGCACGCCCCCTACTGGGGATGTGCCCGCAACCCAGGTACATGCCCTTGACCAGAATTGAACCTGGGACCCTTCAGTCCGGAGGCCGACGCTCTATCCGCTGAGCCAAACCAGCTAGGGCTACACCGATGATCTTATTTCATTCAGAAAACAGTCGCAACCAGAAGAGATTTTTCACCCACCCATCCACCATATCATCCCATGCACTGGCATCTCCCCTGCGGTTACAGAAGAACCTTCTAGGCTCCCATCAACCCCTTCCCCAGGGCACTTGCTCTCACCCCTTCTCGTCTATTCAAGGACAAGGATGTGTCTCCAGAAATCGCCATTCCTCTCTGTCCCTAACTTCAGCCTACAGCCAGGATCCTATTTTCCGCATCTTACCTAGATCATCTCTTTTGTCCCACTTTCCCCTCGAGTTATTGCCCTGTTCCCCTGCTCCCCGTGCAGTAATCACCTTAAAAGGAGCTATCTCTACTTGCTTTGACATTTCCAATTCCTCCACTTCCGTTCTTTCTTGAACTCAATCCATTCAGGCTTTTACCTCCACCGATTCCATTACAATTGCTCCTGCTTGTTGAGGTCACCGATGACCTTCATTTGCGCTAAATCCAAGCATCAACCCTCAGTTTTATCTCACTTGGCCTGTCAGCAGCATTGGACACAACGAACACCACCTCTTCCAGAAACATGTGACTCAGCTGGCGCATCCAGCCTGCCTTTCCTCACTGTGTCCTTCCTTTCTCATGCCTAAGTCACCTCCTAAAATCACCTCTCAAAGAACCTTTTGACGGCCCCCCAAAACGGTCCCACTTCTGGTTTTCCCCATTTCAGTGAATAACGGCGCCATCGTCCAGTTACTCAGACCAACAATCGAGAAGTCGTATTTGACTCATCTCATTTTCTCTTACTCCACTTCCAACCAGATGGAGAATCTATTGGCTCTGTCTTCAGCATCGATCCACATGCCGATCCCATTCCACCACCCTCAGTGCTACCACCCTGGTGCAGGCCTAATCAAAGAACCACCTAACGGGTGGATTTTCCTGCCTCCACCCTTGACCCTTTATTCTCCACCCAGCAGCCAGAGGGAACCTGGTGAATCAGATCAGCAACTCAGGTCTTTGCTGAAAACATTCCAACAGGTTCCATCTCAGCGTAGAAGCCAAAGCCCTCCTCTATGGTATGTCCCCCTCTGGTCCTCACCTCCTGCACGCCTTGCTCACTGCGTTAGTCACAGCAGCCTTCCCACTGTTCCCAGGCAGGGCCAGGAGCGTGGGCCTTGTCAGTGGCTCCCTCCCTTCCTTTGTATCTGCACTCCACCACCTTCCCGCCCCCGCTCTGCAGCCATTCCTGATGAATCCCTAGCCCTTCCTCTCCTTCATTTTTCAGCTTAGTACGCATCACCCTCCACTATACTATATAGTTTTACTTATTTGTCTATTGTCTGTCTGCTCACATTAGAGTGTAAGCTCTATGAAGTCAGGGCTTTTTGTTTGTCTTCTTTTGTACTGATGCAGTCCCAGTGCTGGCACATAGTAGTTGTTCAATAAATGTTGGTTGAATAAATTAATTTAATAAATATACAAAGGACAAACGGAGTGTAAAGATCTTAAAAATTCCCGAAATGTAATTTTATAATATATATACGAAGTCTTAAGCACATACTCAGTAATTTTACTTCTTGAAATGTATCTCAATGAAGGATTTCCCAAGTGAATATAAAGAAGATGCTATTCCAGGGTATGCGCAGGTATGTGGAAAACAAGGAAATAGTATAAAAAAATCTCTTCTAACCTAGACACTGGATATCAGATAGTATTTATCATTATAGGGATGGTTTGTGCGGCTTTTGTTGTAAATATTACTAAACATTATTTATGAATCTTTCGGTTAAATATTTTTAAAGAATATTACAAAATGTAGGGAGCAGCTCTGTGGGAGGTGCAGCAAGTGCTGCCAAAACAAGTGAAACTCACAAGGACATTATAACTATGTTGACCACTACCTTGTTTTTCTCTGATTATAAAATAAAGCCTCAGCTTACTGGCTGGATCCTTCTCTGTGGCCTCATCCAGGCACAGGAGATCCACCAAGCCCCAGTTATATTCTCTTTGTCTGTCTTTTCTCTAATCCTTCGCCGCGCCCCTCCCCGCCCCCCCCCGCCCCGCCCACCCCCAAGCTTACCCAGCCCTTGGCTGTGTGGTACGGCACAACAAAAGACTTTTTTTTTTTTTTTTTTTTTTTTTTTTTACCTTGCCAGTTGTGCTAAAAGTGGACTACATATCTCTATAACGTGAGAACACTGCAGTTCGTGTTAATTTTTTTATTCTTAGTTTCACCATATCACCATTCAAGATGTCTGGTAGCAAACAGCACTTGTTTTATTGATGTAATAGTTTTAAATGGGTGGGTAGTGCAAAGAAAGTGAAAATGAACTTTGTGATCCCAGAAATCAGAACCTGGGAGTGAGCTCGGGGAGTGTGTGCTAAGCAGGACACATGTACAGGCAAACCTTCGTCCATGAGAACTCCTAACTGGAACCTGTGTGCCAGGAGCCTAGTGGGTGCCCTCCTGTATTGGAGCGGGTCTCACTCAGCATTCTGTTCTTTACATGAAGGAGCGATGTTGTGATTCTGAGCATAAGCCGCTCATCATCTCAGAATAAGCTTGTGTTTGGGCTGTGAACATGAGGAGGCCTGCAGAGCAAGACTTAGAAGGAAGCAGGCCGTCTCGTGAATGTAGTAAGGAATCAGCAATGTCATCATTCTGACCTAACCGGCTGAGACGAGGGATGGATTTCTCTATTTTCCTGAACGGTGATTTTAGGGAAGTGTATCTGAGTGACAAGCTGTTCTTCTGGACACCCGTTCTCTTGTTGTTAGCCACTGCCCTTGCGGAGTGACCTGGCCCGGGCCGAGGAGCTCCTACACTGCCCACACCACCTTGTTTCTCAAGGAGGTCTTCAGTTTTGGTAAATGAGAAAGCACTTGGTTTCCATTTCCTTTCTGAGAACTGCTAGTTAGTAGGGAAGGAAGTAGGTATTTGGCCCAAGTCCTATCCTGTCGGGGGAGGGGGGGTTGGGCTGCTCCTCTGAGCACCAGCTTCTGCTTTTGTGGGGCTTGGTGTCTGATGTTTATCTCTTCTTCGTAAATGTCAATAAAACTGGTCTGAGCAACCCCACCCAGTCCCCTCTCTGGGAACAAATGGCTGAGGGTGCAAGGAATGGCTGGCTTTCTTTGTCCAAACTTGGCCACAACTCTGCTCAACATTTTTTTTTCAAAATATGTTTTTACTGATTTCAGAGAGGAAGGGGGAGGGAGAGAGAGATAGAAACATTAGTGATGAGAGAGATTCATTAATTGGCTGTCTCCTGCATGCCACACACTGGGGATCGAGCCCACAACCCGGGCATGTGCCCTGACTGGGAATTGAACCCTGACCTCCTGGTTTATAGGTAGATGCTCAGTATTCTTAATTGGTTCTCTGCCCACTGTTCATTTTTTAAAGATCTTGTCAAACCTTTCTTAAAAAAAAAAGCTTTGCCAGTGGATGAAGAATATAACTTTGAGGAAAACCCAACTACAGCATCAAGTCCTGTCAGGTGGTCATGGTAGAATTAGGGTTTCTGATTCGGACGGGGGGTCTGTGGGAGCCTGAGGTTGGGTATGGTTCATTAACGGATATGCTTCGTGACTTATTTGATGTTGAAATCACGCTTCTACTATTATTTTACACCACTTTCAAGCATGACAACAAATTCCTGAGCTGACAGGTCATGGGAAGGCATGCAGGAAACTTACATGCATAGGACTATTACTAAGTGAAGGAAGTCATCCTGAAAAAGTCAACACTATGAAGATAATGAAAAGATCAGAGGTTGCCAGGGGCCAGGGAGAGGAAGGGAGGACGAGGAGGCACACCCCTTCTTAGGGCAGTGAAACGACTCTGTAGACTCGAATGGTGGGCCTGTCATTCATCACCCATTTGCACCAGCTCATAAACGCCACAACCTGAAGCGTGAGTCCGAAGGTAACCCATGGCCTTGGGTGATAGCAATGTGTTAATGTAGGCTCCTCCACTGGACGCATGTGCCAGGCTGGTGGGGGACGCTGGTCATGAGGGAGGCTGTGTGCGGGTGGGGTAGAGAGCATGTAGGCGATCTCTGTCCCTGCCTCTAAATTTTGCCGTGACCCTAAAGCTGCTCTCCAAAATAGCCTATTTGGGAAATAAAAAAAAGCATAGAGAAGAAAAGCAAATGGGTGCAATCAGATAGAGGAAGGGCAATGGAAAAATAGGAAGTTTGCAAAGGAACTGAACACCTTCTCTACCCGCCTGATAGAGTGGAAAGTGCAAGTCCAGGCCAGGAGACCTGTGCTGAGGACCTGCTGGCTCACCAGCTGCTGGGCGAGCCCCCCTGGCCTTGGGGCCTCCATTTAAAGGCGGTTAGGATGAGACAGTCCTGGTTCCAGGCTGGCAGCTAAGGGCCACCCCTTCCCCGATTTCTCCCTTCACCCGACCAGCCATCCTGGCTAGAAGCTGCTCTTAAAGGACAGCGTACTGCCTGGCTGCGGGACTGAGGTCGAAGTGGAGGATTGAGCTCAGAGGGTAAAAAAGCCCAAGAGCCTGAAGATTGACAGGGAGGGGGCCCTGGAGATTGATTGACAGGAGGAGCCCTGAAGATTGATTGACAGGGAGGAAGGCCCTGGAGATTGATTGACACGGAGCGCTGGGCGCAGGCAGAAGGAAGGCCAGGCAATGCCAGACGCACGCGGCGCCGGCGGCGGAAGCGGCGGAAACGGCGCTGAGAGCCAATTGGCAGGCGGAGGGGGCGGGGCCCCGTGCCGGGCGGGCGGGGCGCTGGGCGTGTCAATGGGTCGTGACGTCACAAGGGGCGGGGCGCGCGGGGGTCTCTCGGCGGCGCGCGGGCGCAGTGAGCAGTCGCTGTGTGGGACGCGGGGCAGCAGCAGCGCGGTCTCCGCTCCCGGTGCGCGGTGACAGCCGGTCCTCCCGGCGCCCGTGTATGTGAGCGGGACTCGGGGCAGAGGCGTCCCCGCGCTCTTTTTTCTGCCTTTTCTCCCCGAGGAGGGAGCCCGCACTCGCCTGCCTGCCGCCCCTTCGGGAGCGGGCTGGTGTGCGGAGTGGTTCGTTTTGGGTTTTTTTTTGCGTTTTTTTTTTTTTTTTTTTTTTTTTTTAGGGCTCACTGCCATCCGGGCTGGTCTCCTGGGTCCCCGACTAGTCGCTTTCTGCCCCTCGTGCCGCCCCCGCCCCAGGTCGCCCCTGGCCCTGCCCCGGCCCCGGGGGTGGGAAGCTGGTCCCGCTCCCCCGACCCGCGCCGCCGCAGCCGCCCCGCACCCGCCTCAATATGAACGGGGTCAGCGACCCGCCTCTTTTTATAAGAGATATTAAGCCCGGATTGAAAAACTTAAATGTCGTCTTTATTGTCCTGGAGATCGGTAAGTGAGGCCGCAGCCGCCCGCAGCCCCTGCGCGGCGCGCGCGGGGCCGGAGGGACTGGCGCCGCGGCCGCCGCGGGCGGAGGGCTCCCCTCGCCTCCCCTCCCCCTCCCCCTTCCCCCTCCCCCGCCCACGTGGTACCGCCTCCTCTCCCCCCGGGGCTGGGAGCTGGAGGCCAAGCCTCGCCCCACCTTCAGGCGCGGGGCGCTCCCGGAGGGGCGCGGGGAGCCCTTGGAGAGCCTCGTGGTCTGATCGCCGCCCCCTTTGGCTTTTCAATCCCTTAGGACGCGTGACCAAGACCAAAGACGGCCACGAAGTCAGGTCCTGCAAGGTGGCCGACAAGACGGGCAGCATCACCATCTCCGTGTGGGACGAGATCGGAGGGCTCATCCAGCCGGGGGACATCATTCGGTTGACGCGGGGGTAGGTGTGCGGGAGGGGGGCGGGGCCGGGCTTCCCGGGGTGCAGCCTGTGGACCCCCATGTCCCAGAGCTCCTGTCTGTGCTGCGGGCCCTTGATGCTCTTCCTGGAGGGCGGGCGGCCCGGCCCTCCATCGGGTCAGGTCCGGCCAGGACTCCTGGCTCCCGCCCCTGCCCTCCGACCTCCGGGCGCAGGTTGGATCGATTCTTCAGAACTGCTCTGGGCCCACGGAGTGGAAAACAGATGGAGAAGATTCACAGGCCCATAGTTTACCTTTCTCATACGTTATTTATTTAATCTAGTTGTCAGTCTTTCTTCCTCCCTTTTTAATGACTTAGGAAATCCTGCCAGCATTTTTGTGCCTCGTTTATGGACAGGGTACGTGGACCATATCTGGAAGGCACCTTCTGGGACACGAGTGCTCGTGGCCTGCGCTGTGCGGTACCCAACCCAGAATGATGCGCAGGGAGTGCTTGGCCGAGAGACCTCTGGGTCTTCGTCCAGGAAAGTCAGAAGATTGGCTTTTAAAAATACTTTAGCGCGATCTTTTTGTTTGAGAGTTACACTGCCTTTAACATTTTGCCAAATCTTTACAGGAAGATAAAAGGCCAGAAGAGGGTCTTTAAAAAAAAAAAAAAGACTTTGGAAGTCCGGTCAATAGAGTTGCAACGTGTTGGCCATAACTATAGGAAAAGTGGGTGGGAGTTGGTGCTGGAAGGAGGACCCCAGAGAAGAGTTGGATGGTAACTGAAGGGGGGAGGCCTTGGGTAATCTCTCCCAGGCCTCAGCTGCAGGAAGTGAGGCAGTCTCACCAGAGGAGGAAGTGGGAGTCAGGATTCAGACATTTGATTCTCACCCTGACTCATGGTGACATTGTCTGTTAAACATCCACATGAGCATGCCTGCCTGGGAGGGCGTGGTCAGGGTTCCCATAATTAAAGTTGTTTTGGCTACCAGCGCATCTTATCTAGTGATTTACAGCATTTTATGCACTGTAAACAGCACCTCCTTCCGAGTATTTCATACTTCTTTTGTAGTCAGAGAAAGTTCATAGATGTGTCCACCCAAAAAACTGGAAAAACTAGATTCAGTCGCTGTCTAGTACCTATAGGACTTTTAAGGAATATGGTTACCAAGGGGTACAAGTTAAAGGGAAATTCAAAACTAAAGACACTATTCCTACTGTTTCCTAACTTCAGTGTGACCTTGAAGTTAGTGTACGTCCTCAATGTGCTCTATAAAATGGGGATCATTGTACCTTCCTTCCTAACATAATGCAGCCGGCAGAGTCGGGCCCGTGGTGAGGCCCTTACATTCTGGTTGAATCTAAGAAAAGTGGCCTTTGAAGAAAGGTATCCACTTAAATAGAGGTAATTTGAATATTGATATGTTTATCAGAAAACCCTGCAAATGTCCCTCTCATTCCTGAAACAAGTGAAATGTGTTCATTGCAGTAACTTCAGATTTTTCTCAAAATACGCATTCATTTTTTACTTAGTAAGGCGAAATAGTGCACTGCCTTCTAAGTCACTTCTTATCTAACATCACATGGGTGAATGGTACCCTTAATAAGTGACCCGTTCCTATAAATGAAGATAAATATACGTGGAGCTAGCAAGTTTTTATCACCTATGTTAAAAGATGAACTATCACTATACATAAACAATGTTTAATCACAACTTCTCATTCGAAGTCATGAAGTTACTGGAGTAGTTGTACAAAGAACCTCTGGAAACCAGACCTTAGGCTGGTTTTTATAATATTGATTAACTTACAGTTTTTCTCTCAGATATATGTGTAGGGTTATTTTATCTAATGATTTTGCCTGCATTCAAAATTGTTAAGAGTAATTGTTTATCCAAGTTGGTACTAAACATTGCAAATTTGAAAAGGTAGATGTGTGAAAGAGTTGTGATCTTAGCTTTTTTAGCCCCTGGATTAAATTTTACCAACTTTTTTTGTAGCTTGGGAACCCTGTGTGGTTTGTGGAGGTAAAGGAAAAGCAATTAGATCAGTTTCTGAGCAGACCAAGTAAAGGAGTATAAGAGAAAACACTAGGGTGTTGATTTCCTATTTGTCCTGTGATTAAAAATAATTTCTGCTTGGATCTCTGCAATTATAAATTCTTTTGTTAACTGACCCAAGATGTGATCTTTGGAGTGTAACCGTGCTTGCTTGGCAAAAAGACCTGTTTCCCAGAGTTTAGATGATTATGTGAGAATCTGGCAGTAGAATTTTCTTTGTATTTTTCCTTAGTAAGTAACAAGTTAAAGTTAGGCTCATGAATTGTATTAGATTTGCTATCGTAGACATATATCCACACCCAGTACAGAAAGTATAGTATAAAGACTTCCTCGATGACGTATTTCTACAGAACTGATGTTGCTTTTCTTTCCAGGTATGCATCCATGTGGAAAGGGTGCCTGACGCTTTATACTGGAAGGGGCGGGGAACTCCAGAAAATCGGGGAGTAAGTACCTTTTGTGTAATTGAAAAAATTACAGATTTCTACTGACATGACTGGTAGGTATAAACGGCAGCCTTTTCCTTGGCTTGTTTCCGACTGGCCTCCCGCGTGTCTCCAGCAGCCTGCCTGCGGGAATCTTGCCGTGGACAGATCAGTGGGACAGCTGTCCATGTCTGGTTTGGGGAATGAGCTTTCTCCAGTGTCATTAGTGCCATTAGTAGTAGCTTCTGTCGTCTAGTGAATTGCCAGATAAGAAACGAGGTGTAAGTTGTGGCCCTGAGTTGAAATGTCCTTTTTCTCTGTGTGTGGGTGAATGTGTCCTCCTGGTACCAGGACCTGCAGCAACGCCCACTGAAGTGCTATGTTTATCCGCAGGCTAGGTACCTACCGCACAGGCACTGCGGGCTTCCAGGCACTACTTGCTGCTTGGTAATCTCCACCCTGACTTGGAGGAGCCATCCTCTCTAGGGGTGTAAAGGTAATGCAGCCCCCAGGCTCGTCAGACATGTGGGGGGGTACTCGTAAGCTTGGGTGCAGGCACTACATCCAATCACGAGTCCATTCCGCTAGGTTAATGCTTGGACATCTGCTTCATGCCCATTAAAGTAGAGGATATTTGAAGAGAAGCAACAGTGGCACCCAGCAAACAGATATAAATAAAGAAAGGAAATTTCTCTTCCTTACTGCAGGGTTAAGATGCTTTGCGTGGAAAAATAATCTTGCCAGCTTTTTTCTTTTTTAATAAATACATTTTTACTGATTTCAGAGACAAAGGGAGAGGGGGAGAGAGAGAGAAAAACATCAAAGATGAGAGAGAATCATTGACTGGCCGCCTCCTGCACGCCGCCTGTTGGGGATCGAGCCCCCAACCCAACCACTGTGCCATACCAGCCAGGCTCTTGACAGCTTTTAAAGATCAGAAACTGGCAACACTCTTTGGAGGAAAATTAGGATTCATTTACGGTTTATGTTTGCATTTAGAGTATTATTGGAGCAACGAAAGGGTTTCACATCAACATGACTGACTGCAAGATTAGGGTCCTGTCCTGACCTTTGTGTAGAGAGAAGTGTCTGTCATAATGGAGGTCAGTTGAGGGAAGAACCGCTGGAGGACACTCCGTTCCTAGTGACTTGACTTTGTCAGGGTCAGCCCAGCATTTACAGAAACCAGTTCTCAGTTTTTATTTGTGGGGGGAGGGGCTTGTGCATAATGTTAATATAGCCCACAGCCACCTTATAGGAGGCACTGGGATGAACTGTCATTGTGGGAGCCAGTTGTCTGTGCTGATGCCTCAGAACCCTCTCCTAACCTTGAATGGTTATCTTTGCAGATTCACAGTGCGTGGTCCACAGGGGCCTGGATGACAATGTGTGGATGGGTCAGGGCTAACCCATCCCCAGCCCTGGAGGACCCACTCTGGAACCCCGAGTCCCCTGGTTCCGTGGCCTCGGCCTGTGGGAGGACAGGACAGATGTGTTTCTGTGTCCTTGCTCTTTGACATGGTTGGTTTTTGTCGTCCAGAAGACGACTTAAAATGCAGAGTAGAATGTTCCACACAGTGTAGGCAATCACATAGTTGATGTTTTGATGGAACATAAGCACTGAGGACGTTGCTGTTAGAATAGGGTTAGTTAGCATGTTGCTTTTTAGTTAGTTCATTTGACAACTAAATTCTTCATTCCTGTCATACATATTAGATAAAGAAAGGTGGATTATTTCAGAAGTCGTGTAACTTCTCCTGTATTTTCTTCCAGGTTTTGTATGGTTTATTCAGAAGTGCCAAATTTCAGTGAACCCAATCCAGATTATCGAGGACAACCGAACAAAGGGGTAATTAAGTCTGCTTTTATGACAAGGCTCATTCTGGCTGGCCGCCGTCATTCCATGGCGGGACTGTCATACCCAGGGTCTAATGAAGACAGTCTAAGGAGTCACTTAAAGTCCTTTTTAAAGTCATTTCTGTTCTGTTTGCTTTGTGAGAATGAATGTGTCTGTGGTGTCCGATATTTAAGTGTCTGCCATTTAGCACTTTTGGGGAGTGGGGAGGACTATCAGGAAGTACAGTAAAATGAAAGGTTTGGGAAACACTCATGAATATTTTGACATTGAATGGACTTGGATAAATATATTAAAAATTTGTTTAAGAAAACCTTAAAAACTAAAAAAGGGAATGGACACAACATGTTATAATAATGTACAGGTGTGTTTTTGATTTTTAGTCTTCATTTGGTTAAATTGAAATTTTCTTTCAGGCACATAGCGAGCAGAAGAATAATTCCATGAATGGTAATATGGGTACAGGTACATTTGGATCAGGGGGTAAGATTTTTTTTTTTTTTCATAATTGTCATCAGGTGTGAGAATTCTAGAATATATATTTTATGAAAGCTAGAGAGGAAAAATTTGTCATTAGGCATAAATTAGTTCTAAAAGGGAACTACTAGTAACCAGGGAATTCCTGAATAGCTGATTTTCTAGAAAGCAGACACCCTTTAAACTAATTTATTGAGCTCATTCTGTATGGAAACATCTGGGCCAGTTCCTGGGAATAGTGGTGAACGTTGGCTAATAATATAGAAGTGCACGCTTCGGAGATGTGTCATTTCGGTAGCCTGGTGACCGACAGGGGCAGAATTCCTGGTTATTTTTATGCACTGAAAGCCTTTTATCTTCAGACTAATAGCTCACCTTCCTTTTTCACATGCCGATCGCTGCCCCTTTAAAAGATTAGCCTTTATCCTTCAAATACCCTTAAACCATGTGGAAGGTTTTTTGGAAGTTTGGTCCTTAACGGAGGAGAAGTCTTTTGTGACCAGAGTTCATTTCGGGTGGCTGTTACTCATTTGAGCTGCTAGCTGGTCCCCGCCCTGTGGGAAACGTCTTTAAAAAGTTAGAATCACGTTCTCTCGAGTCGTTACTTGCTGTATTTGAGCCCAGTGCCAGGACTCACAGGCCACTGCCCCCTCTCGGTCTTCCCTTGTGCTACCATAGGCAGTCCTACTCGACCCGCTTCTCATTCTGTTGCCCAAGTTGCTCTTTTTTTCCTCTTCCTGTTAACGCAGCATCAAGTCAGGGTTGTTTCCAATAGTCAAATGTTCGAACAAACCCAGAACTTAATGGGATTTCCCCCAGGAGTTAAAAGGGATTTGTTTTCCCCAATAGGACTTGTAAGCATTAATAAGACCATGTGTGCGACTGCAAATAGGTGCACCCCTATAGATCAGTATCTGAAAATGTGATGGATTTTTATATTCTTTTTTAGGAAACGGGATTCAGCCCGGCCCAGAACCACGGGGATGCCAGTTTTCCTTTGCTGGTAGAAGCAGTGGCCGGGGGCCTGGGACTCCGCAGCCAGCTGGAGCAGCTGGCGGTCAGACGGGCACGGCCACGATAAGTAATGGCAGGGACCCTCGGAGAGCCTTGAAAAGATGACCGGTGCCAAACACCCACATGTAGTTTGTGAACTACGTGCCCTACTTGAACACTCACTGCACTTTTATTTGTGGTTAACTGTGAAAGCTTCTTTGTCGGTTTCCTTTTATGTTGTTGGTTTGTTAACAAGAATGGCTTGCTTTTATAGCAAGACGGTTAAGCTGCTCGAGTCTCCTATGGAAGAATGGGAACACGTTGAAAAGTAGGGGTGTTGATTTCTAGAGCCAAAATGTCTCTGGGTACCCTCAACAGCCTGTCCCCGTCCACGGGGGAGCTACCTAAGACATCAGCATTACAGCCTCTGTGAGTCTGTCTTCTGCGGACAGTTTGTAATATTTAAAATAAGGCTTAGTGGGAGCTGTTCTCTGTCTTAAAGTCAGATACTGCCAACTAAAGTGATAACCACCAAAAAAAAAAAAAAGCCACCAAAAACTTAATCAATGCTAACAGTGATTTGTGAGTGTCTGTGACTTCTGGAATGACTGGCTTCTTCACCGAGTGACTGCTGTTAGGGTTTTCCTAGGACTGAATCATTCTGAACTCCTGTTTTATTACCAAAAAACCATATTTGTCAGAATTATAGACCAGAACCCAATCTGTAGTATAACAAGTGATTTTTAGAAGAAAGCTGCGTTCACTTTATTTCAGTGACTCTTTGTTATCATCGTTGTGCATTGATTGCACTGAAGGAAAATTTGAAGCTGAGGCCTTGATTATTTATTTTTTTGAAACTATCACGTCAAATATTAAAGTATAATTTGAAGGTGGTATAAGCCTAATAAACATGGATCTGATGATAAAAATTATGGGAAGTAAACACAGGGAAGGCAATTCAAGTTGAACCCATGGAGAAAACAGCAATCTATGTTACAGGGCCCTAGGTTCTGCAGAAACAGCCAGCCTAGGTGCTGCCTTTATTTGAAGGGTGTGGTGTGTGTAGTGTGTGTTACGTATTGTCAAAGTTCCTGAACACAGATTACAAAGCCTTATCAGCAAAAGCTAAGACATGGCTCTCTCAGAAGAGAAGACAGCTTTATTCAGAAATGTTAAGAGTTTGCTTCTGTGTTGTAATCGCTCCCCAGGTCCCCTCTCTATTGCAGGGTGGATAACTGGTCAACCTTCCTTTGTGAGAATCCTACCCTTGATTATGTCTTGAATAAAAGTGTGCATTCATGGTAACAGACCTACTTCCTCTGCTCTTCCAGTGACCTGCAGCGAGAGCCCGTGCGTGTGCCGGCCGTGGTAATGGGGGCTTCACCCTGAGGCTGCCTGGCTCTGCTTGGCTGCTGTGTCTCTGTCCCTACCTCACATCACAAGGAATTTAAGGCGACTTTGTTTTTAAAAAATTCCAGAGTGTGTGACTATAAAATCTGTGCCAGATTATGTATTTGCTCTAATTGAGTGTATGTGACAAATATTTCAGAAACATTGGAGCATGTATTAGGCAACTGTGAGGAGAGTTGGGGGTAGACGAAATCATGAACCATCTCGAGACGCTTACCGGTATGGTGTGTAGCACATGGGTAACGGGTTTATGTATGCGCAGTATGCACAAGGTGGGGCAAAGCAGGGGTACAGTTGTGAGTAGGCGAAACCGTTTATTCTTGTGTTGTTACTGTGTTATTTTCCATATGAACAGCTGTAAACCTACCTTTGCCCCACTCTGTACTATACAAAGAAGTTGTTCCTTTATGTGTGATGATTCTAGTTAATTTGGCTTTATGACTAATATTTTCTTAAGATGTTCACAGAATTACAGAGATTATGTACAAATTAGTGTACAGGTTTTTCTTTTAAGTCAAGTAGTGGGAGGAGCAATAACTTGTTTGTGGGGGAATATCGTGTTACAGGTGGTTTTGAGAAGTAAGAAAGACCTCAGCTGGTGCTTTTGTAATCCACACTTGTCGTAATAATCTGACCTTGTTCTGTGTTTTGTATCCTCTATTAACAAGTTTCTTTTCTCTCAAGGGAAGCCTCTAAAACGCGGGCACAGTGAGCGTCAGTCCGTAAGGATCGCTCGCCTTGCCGCCTGCTGGGACGCGCTCAGCACGAAGAGGAAGAAGGTTCCCCGCCTTCCCCCTTCCTGGCGCTCGGCCTTCGACTCACTTTCAAACAAGTTTAAACACCTGAGAACAAGCACCACTTAGTACAGAAACACACGCTCCCGGGATGGTCCCATTTCATTGCCACAAAGCCGTTGTGAAGGGGGTGCAGTCGCCCTGCCCTGCTGGCCGCTGGGCTGGCCAGGTCTCAGGAGTTGCTGGGGCGCAGGAGGAGAAAGATGGAACCCCCCAGCCAGGGGACCTGCACTGGGGCGCGTGCACTTCACCAAGTGCCCCTCGGGGTACCCACTCAGGCTCTGCCCCTGTAGCTTCAGGAATTCCGTTTTGAATGTGAGGACAGTTCAACTGGAGGGCACCCTGAATATTTGTAGTATTTGTCGCTTGTATTTTTATCATGTAACATTTTTTAAAAATATTTTTTTATTGACTTCAGAGAGGAAGGGAGAAGAAGAGAGAGAAACATTAAGGATGAGATTCATTGATTGGCTGCCTCCTGCACGTCCCCTACTGGGGATGGAGCCCACAACCCAGGCATGTGCATTTGACGAATTGAACCTGGGACCCTTCAGTCTGTAGGCTGATGCTCTATCCACTGGGCCAAACCGGCTAGGGCCATCGTGTAACATTAGGAATGCTTAATTTGCTTGGTTGAGTAATGCCAAGGGAATGATGGCTGGAAACAGATGTTAGTATAAAAAAAAAGTTACAATTTTTGATAGAGTGTTAAAGTATAGGAAGGTAGTTAACTGGCCCTAAATCGTGTCCATAGAAGGTACGAGTTGAGCGTCTTACATCAATCGAAGACAGTGGCAGTTGTTGACATTGGTAGAGATCTGACATTGCAATCACGGAAGCACGCTTTTCTGGCATCGGTCAGGTAATGCCTGCTCCACGCAGTTAGGTGGCCATGATTCCTTAGGTTCTTGGAAGTATTCGGAAGGTTCCAGAGACATCAACCCCGAACACCATGTGGAGACCGGGTCAACACGGAACGCTTCCCTGCGCTTTTAATCTCTTCTCACCTCTGGGCTCATTCCTGGGATTACTTGCCCTACGATAGACTATTTTTTAAACCTATTTTTCCTGCTCTCTATTGTATCCCCTATTGCAGTGGTTGGCAAACTGGCTTGCGAGCCACATGCGGCTCTTTGGCCCTTTGAGTGTGGCTCTTCCACAAAATACCACGTGTGGGCGCGCATGTACAGTGCGATTGAAACCGTGGCCCATGTGCAGAAGTCGGTATTTTGTGGAAGAGCCACACAAGGGGCCAAAGAGCCGCATGTGGCTCGCGAGCTGCAGTTTGCCGACCACTGCCCTATCGGATGAGAGTCTGCACATTTCTAGTAGAAAAGGGGGTCACAGTTGCCCCTACGTGGGCCCGATGGCGGGTAAAGGCAGGTGAGCTTGGCCATGATCCATCTGTGTATTGTCTCCTACATGTTGGGGTGAACAGCCCCACATTTCACACGGTGGTTTATAATGTTACGATTTGCTTCTGAGAAGATCTGACATAATAGCACTATCATGTTAGGCCCTGAGGGGGAAGCTGGTAAAATAACTTCGAAAGTATAACCAACTTTTCTCCAAATTCCTTGACCTTTGCTTTACTAGGGATGCACCAGAGTTTATATTCAAATACTGGACCCAAATTATTCCAGGTTCCTGAGCTGAAAGGACCTGATGATGGGTTTTCAAAGCCCAGAGCACTGAAGGACCAGAACAGAGAAAATCCAGGCCAGACCATCTGTCCCATTTATTTCACATGGTTTCTCGCTAAGAACACAGCTGTGCACAGTCTGGCGTAACCGGTGTGACGGAAAGGAAATGCACATTTTACTAAGTTTGACTATCAGACGTTTTGTTTCGTTTCCGTCTTGAAAGGCCTTGAGAGGCCCACCGTTTTACGGTGGCTGCCCAGGTGTCAGGCTCCGCGGACACTGCAGTCCTTGCCGTCACGCTTGGCCACCTCTGCTGAAGGGCCATCGACAGGTCTTTATTTTTTAAAATAGATTTTTATTGATTTCAGAGAGGGAGGGAGGGAGGGAGAGACATCAACGATGAGAGAATCATTGATCGGCTGCCTCGTGTACGCCCCCTACCGGGGATTGAGCCTGCAACACAGGCATGTGCCCTGACTACAGACCAATGCTCTATCCACTGAGCCAAACCAGCTAGGGCGGGTTGCCATGTCTTTAAAAACCAGTTCTTGACCCACTTCCAACCATACATTCAAGTTGTTTTACTCCATCCAATGTATGTTTCCGGACAGAGGAGTTAGTCCAGCTCCCTTGGCCCACACACTGACTATGTTGAATGCCAAGAACAGCTACCACCTGCAGGAGATTCCCCCCAGGACTCCTGAGAGGTGTGGAATATTCTCAGCTGTTCCGGGGGAGTTCAGGGCAGGTCCGGGAGAGCCCTGTCTCCTGCCCTGGGTGCCTCCCTTAGCGCAGGAATAACCTCATTTGGAGGCATACGTGGAGCTCAGCTTTTGCCGCTGGGCGGCTAGAGCACCCCGGAGTTCTAGATGGTCAAGTGTGGGCCGCTGTACTTGGAAGCGGACGCCTCCCACGGGCAGAGCTGAGGGACAGCCAGGGGGTCCCGGCGGGACAGTGAGTGCCCCCCCCCCCCGGGGTTGGGGGTGGGGGGTAGTTCTGAGTGAATTTGGCTCAGAGCATGCTCAACACACATCAGTGTTGAGATCAGATTCCAGCGGAGTCACCTGGCTTCATCTGGGCCTACACAGATCAAAGTGAAAAGTTTCCCTGAGGTTTCCGTTAACACGTTTTAAAAAAATGGGTTTTCTTGTTGCTTATCTCGGCAAATATGTTTGCCGCACTGCCTACCTTCCTTCAACAGCCCCCTCCCCCATTGCCTTGGTCCCTGCTTCATCACGGGAGATGCTGGCCAAGTGAAGAGTAGGTGGGCGCTCGCTCCTGGAGCTGCGTGTGCCTTTCCGCCCCCTCCCCGCCCCAGGCGTGATACCTTTACCCTCCTCTCCAAAGCTCCAAGGGCCCTTTCTTTTGCCTCTAACTTGTTTCTATAGCTCGCTTCCACTTCTGTGTGTGTGTGTGTGTGTGTGGGGGGGGGGGTTGGTAGGGGGGGACCTGCCTCTTACAGACCCTAATCATGTTCTGCAGGAGGGGCAGCTGCAGTGAGTGTTCTCCACAAACAAGTACTCCGCAGGCATGATTTGCCTGCCACGTGGGGCGAGGTGGTTTAAATCTAACTAGTAGGTCCGGAGACCTCTGGCCTAAGTCGCGAGGTGACTTCAGATAGAAAACCATGACACTGGCAGCCAGCACGGCTAGTGCCCCTCCGGGGGGACGGCTCTGAGTCCTGGCTTTCTCTCCACTGCCCAGGAGCCTCATTAGGAAAGAACGGGGGGGGGGGGGGGTGATGCATGGGCGCAGCTCCGAGGCCATGGGCGCCAGTGGGCGCTAGACACCTGCTGCCCCCCAGGGCTGGGTCAGGGTCCAGCGTCCTCCCAGGGGCAGTGGAAAGAAGAGGCCGGCGCTGGCCATCTCCGCGCCATCATCAGAAGGCAGTCTTAACATTTATAGGCAGTTTATTGCCACCAGGTGTGTGTGTTGAAGCAGCCAACCTTTCAGTCTTTGCTGGGCCCAGAAAGGTTGCTGACCATTTGCCGCATGGAAGGGTGAGTCGTGGGCACAGGTCTGATCCATAGCCGAGTTCCCTGAGCTCTTTCCCATCCCCCTTTGCCCTGAGGGGAGGGCGAGGGCACCATATGGAGCTGCCAGGAAGAGGGAGGATGTGGGGGGGTTTGGTGCCAGGAAGGAGGGCAGTGGCCACAAGGAAGGCACGGGCTTCCCACGGCAGCCTCGGCATCGCCACAGGCCCAGGGTGCAGTCGTGGTGTGTTTCTGAGAGCACTGGGGAACTTTCCCAAGCTTTATGAAAACGTTCAGACATGCAGCAATGCTCCTGTGTGCTCACCACCGAGATTTCACCTGTAACATCTGACCATACTTGGTTTATCACATATCCATCTCGTTCGTCCATTAATCCAGTTTTTTGGATGAGGTGATTTTTTAAAATTGAATTTATTGGGGTGACATTGGTTCATAAAATTATATAGGTGTACAATTCAATGCAT